GAGAGAGAGAGAGAGAGAGAGAGAGAGAGAGAGAGAGAGAGAGAGAGAGAGAGTCTTACCCTGCAACCCAGGCTGGCTGCAACCTCACAATTCTGCCTCAGCTTCCAAAGTGTCGAGATAACAGGGTTTTTTCTGTATTCTTTATCTTTCACAAATGCCTTTCTTAATTTTCTCTCTCTTCTTGTAACCCCTGGTGTATTTCATTGGGATGACTGTTTTGTACTGTTTAAGTATCTTTTTGTATTTATTTATTTTTTGGTGAACACGTGGTGGGGAGCCATGCCACATGGCAGATGTTAGGGGACAACTTATGAAAGTCTGTTTTCTTGTTCCACGGTGTGGGTTCTGTGCCTTTACCTGCTGAGCCGTCTCTGACATCGTTTTTTGTCATTTCTGTATTTCATAAGTTAGTAAACAAAGTCACGAGCTTCATTTAATCATTCTTTTAATAAAATAATAATTACTATCAATATTATTAGTATGTGTATAATGTGGGGATTTATCAAGGCAATTCCATGTACTTAAAAAGGAGGTTTATTTTGGGGTAACTTACAGCCAGTACAGGAGTTGGTTACAGGATCCAGGAGAAGTGAGGTGTGGTCCAGCGGGGTTCTCTGGAGAACTCTGAACAGGTCTGTCTTCCAGCATCCAGGATCACCAGGAATCAACAGCCTGGCACATCCGGATCTCAGGTCTTAAGGGCTCCTGTCTTGGCCCCGCCCCAGGGGCAGGACATAGGTAGGCGTGGCAGTTACCAGAAACCTTACTGGGGTAGTACTTCCAGGTCAAAACTGGAACAGCTACCTACTACGTGTGTATGCATACTATGTACATGTGTGGGCATGCGTGCCATAGCGCATGTGTGGAGGTCAGAAGACAACTTTAATAGGGTCTGTTCTCTTCTCCCATCTTTCTGTGGGTCCCAAGAATGAACTCAGGCTTCTAGGCTTCCATGACAAGGACTTGTACTTGCTGAACCATCTCACTTGCCCCTACTTAGCCATTTTTTTTTAAAGATTCATTTTATTTTTAATTCAGAAAAGAGTGGGCCTCTCAGGGATATCAGTTGAACATGACATAAGTTACAATAAGACTAGGTACAGACCCTCATATCAAGGCTGGATGAGGCAACCTCATAGGAGGAAAAGGGTCTCAAGAGTAGTCGAAAGAGTTAGAGACACCCTAGTCCCACTGTTGAGACTCGCAAAAAAACCAAGCTATACAACATAACATATGTGCAGAGGATCTAGCACTGCCTCATGCAGGCTCTGTGACTGCCATTTCAGTCTCTGTGAGCCCATATGAGCCCTGCTTAGTTGATTCTGTGGGCTAGGTTCTCCTGGTGTCCTCAACTCCTCTGGCTCCTACAATCCTTCCTCCCCCTCTTCCATTGGGTTTCCTGCTTCTCCTACATCTTAGGCTTCTGGAAGTTCTTTCAGCTTCCTGTGTCTCCATTTCCACTTTAAGTTGGCATAATAGTAGTATGTAACTATTTATTCAGTTAGTTATTTTTGAGGACTAAATCAGCAAATGTGTGTCTAAATAAGAATAATGAAAATAAAAGTCACTAGACAAACAGAAAAGAGTTAGCCTCACCTTTGAATGTCTGATATTTCTACAGCCTTTGCGCAGTAATGCATAAAAGGACTTTAGCAAACATATTCATGATAATTTGGGGGAAGGTACCTCTTAGGCTCTTCTTGGCTGGCCAGGGACCCAAATAACACCATCCCCAAAAGGAAACAAAAACCTGACATAGAGGAAACATATTCCCTCTGCTCTGAACTCACCAAGTCATTCAACACCGAAGTACACACGAAACTGACACATGACACTCAGTCCACCAGGATTTTAATCTCCTTTCATTTTGCACTGAAGACTTCGGAAACTGACTCAGAATTTAACACGTTGGGAGAATGAGATTAAATAAAACAAATCTTTTAAACAAAAGAGAGAAGCAGAGATCAAGAGGCAAGACTCTGTTAATATGTAACAATCTGGACTGGTTGACTCCTTGTTTCCTGTTTTTGGTTTATGATCAGTAAGTGTCCAGGACAAAATGAACATCACTCACAAGAGAAACCAGCAACTCCACTGACTGAAGGCACAGCAGGTTCTTGGGCAGAGAGCATTCAGATCTCTCAATATTCATATTCACCGAACCTTTTCTCTGAAGGAAAAAGGGAGGGGTGGACAGAGAAAGATAAGTTAGTTTTGTATTGGAAGCAGTTCAGCTGCAATGCGTTCTTAGAGCCGCACAAGAAGGAAAAGCTGTAGCCATGAATTCTTTGTTCCTCTAAGAATGGCAGCCCTCTAAAGGGACTCTAAAGATACTCTAAAAGTATTTTCTTGATTGCTGTCCATTTAGAAGATGAAATTTGGTTTTACTAGCTCATTTATTCATTCACTCAACAAATATTTTTAGAGAACAATTAGAGAAGAAAAAAGGAAACAGGAAGGGAAAAAATAGTATTTCCTATCAACTTTCAGAGATAAAAAGAGAAAAGAGGGTTGGGGATTTAGCTCAGTGGTAGAGTGCTTGCCTAGCAAGCGCAAGGCCCTGGATTCGGTCCTCAGCTTTGGTGGTGGTGCACATGCCTTTAATCCCAGCATTTGTGAGGCATAGCCAGGTAGATCTCTGAGTTCAAGGCCAGCCTGGTCTACAGAACGAGATCCAGGACAGGCACCAAAACTACACAGAGAAACCCTGTCTCGAAAAAAAAATAATAATAATACTAAAAAAAAAAAAAAAAAAAAAAAAAAAAAAAGAAAAAAAAAAAAGAGCAAAATAGACCCGAGCCTCAGGGCGGCCTTCCTTTGTCTGTTAGGTGTGTGGGACTGGGGCAGATGGCCAGGAAGCTGATGTCATAGGTCAGCAACTCACATCACATTCCAGAATGCTCTGGGGGAAAATCATCCCAGATAAGGAAAGACTGCAGACTGGAACATTCCTCCTCCTATCTCTCTACGAACTTCGAGCTTAGAATTGAATGTCATTCAACTTTACTACCCACTACCCTTCCATGGTACGACCTCCTGATGTCCCTCTTCTTGGAGTCAATGCTGTTATCCCATGTGTACGCCGTCCACGTGAGCCTTAACCTCCTCTCCTGTAAGATCTTTGCCTACATCTTGTTTCAGTCACCCTCCCCAGGGTTAACTACGACTTCTCCCCTTTCTCAATGTCAAGGGTCTTACTCTCCAATCATTGCCTGCATCTTTCCAATTCACCGTCTCAAGTCCCCCAGCTTGAAGAGTTTTTGAATGCCGCCATGACCTAGAATCCAGTGACTCTACCACTTTGAGGGAGATATTAGGGGTAGAACCCAGGGCCGCATGACTGCTGGGCGATTGCTCTACCACCAAGATACAAGCCCAGCCCTCCTACCACCTTTTCTCTGCCCTTGCACTTCCATCCTTCATCTTTCCCAGCTCATCTTAAATTCCACTGCTGACCGTTATACTACCACTCCACACCCACCTGTCTCCATCTGTCACGCAGCATCCAGAACTCTAACATCTGGTTGACCCAACTTTATTACCACTGTGTGTCGTCGACACTCAAATAACTGAGATTGGAGAAAAACACACAGTGGTGCCTGGTTTCCTCATTTTAATGTAATGATCATGAATTTCAAAGTGCTTTTAGTGCTTAAAAATAAAAAACTGTCCTATTTCTTTAGTTAGTCTCTCCTAGTTGCTTGCTTTATCTTTCCCAACACTGGCATGGCTAACTTTACACTCAGCTCATGAGCTGACTCCTAGTTAATTTCTCCTCTCTCAAATAATCTATTCTCCATCTTCATCTTTTTTGATTCCTCGGTCGTATTCTCATAGTTAAACATTCCTTGCTCTCTGAAATGCTTTTCCTTGGTTTTCTGGTTATGACATTCTCTTGGTTTCCACTTTATTTCACTCATCATGGCTTTTCCTCCTTTACTGTGTTCCCTTCATTTTCCTCACCCACAAAGGATGTGGAGAGAGTAAAGGGCAGAAAAAAGGGACCCAAGCTTCAGCACCTGAACATTCTATTTTTTTTTTAATGTTTTTACATTCTATTTCCATGGTGAGCACACATGGTCTGAGCATTTCAAATCCCATCTCTAGTTCACAGCCCCCAGGTTTTGCTTCTGAGGCTGCCTCTTTCTCTTACTTGAATGTGTGACTACATACTCAGCATTCCCCTCCAATGGCTCACATGGGCTTCTCTAACTAAAGATGCCCCCAAAAGAAACACCAGGACTTCCTAGACAGATACGAATTTACCCATTCTCTTCCTGAGAGAAAATCTTAGTGAGCACGGACTCCTCCTTCCCTTACACCCTTCACTTCATCTTTCAACAAACTCTGTTCCCTCTACCTCCAGAAATGCAAACATGACCCAGTCTCTTTTTGTTTCTTTCCACTCCTAACACCTGGGGTCAAGACACCCTCTTCTCTCACCTGGATCATCCTAACAGTCCAACTGGTCCCCCTGGTCCCCCTTGCCTCTCTGCGTCTGCCCTCAAGAGTAACAGGATAGAGCTTTGTGAAATGCCGGCCAGACCACTTCACTCCTCCGTGTCAGGCCACCAGGGGCTCTGCATCTTCCTCACAGGATGAGGAAAATCCAGAAATCCTTACAGTGCTCCACTAGAAACGACACAATGCTAGCCGCCTCTCATCTTAAGCCCTGCATTCTTTCCATTCCGACCCCGGCCTCCTTGCTGCCCCTCAAACCCACCATGCCTGCCTACCTCTGGGCCTGGCTTCCACATCTCTGTTCAAGCCTTTGTTGAAACTTAGCATGGAAGTGAGGCTGTCTACGGACAGTCTAATGTTACAACTCTCCCTCCCTACTCCGTTCTTCCTGATCTGCTTCCAATGTTTTGTTTCCTTTATGTGACTAGTCACCATATATTATACACCTTTTCCTTTATATTGAAAAACACATATAGAAAAGTATGTAAGTGTCCAGCACCATTGTAAATGTAAATCTCTTACAAACTGAATACTACCACATAACCAGCACCCACACCAATAAGTGGAATGATATCTGTACCCTAGAAATCTTCCCCACTCCAAGGAATACCACTCTTCAGACTTCACACAACACAGATGAATTTTTTTCCATTGCCCTCCTGCCCTCCAGGTATTGAATTTCATATAAATGGGTTCGTATGGTGACATATAACACATTTTAATGATCTGTTTACTGTGTATCTCTTTCCCACTAACAGTAGGAAAGTTTCGAATGTAAGAACTCATTATATTCACTGGTGTTATCTAGCACCTACAAAGAGGATATGCAGCTCAACCAATATTTGATGTGCAAATGAACAAAACAAAATATTGAACAAATAGAAAGGAGCAGAAGAGAATATGAGCCAAGTCTTGGGAAATGGACAGGAGTGCATGAGGCAGATCAAGAGAAGAGAGGTATCCCAAGAGAGGCAGAGTCTGCACAAAGGCTTGGCACCACGAACAAAACAAAAAAACCAGATCCATTCTGAAAGCCACAGGACGTGGTAAGCCCAGAGCAGTGAGTGATGCTATGCCATGAGACACGGCAGCTTGGAGCTGGGGACACAGGCCGATGCCGGATCTCAGGGGTCTCCTATAAATACATAGATGAGGGTAGAGAGAGAAGTCAAATACAAGGACTTTTTAGATAGTTCTGGGACATTTTAAGGGTGTTGAAATGTCAGAGGATAAAAACAAGAGTATTTCTTTTGAAGCCCACTCATTGATAATGCATCCTAGTGTTCTCAGAAGGAAGTCTGAGGCCCACGGTAACGCTCACAGACACCAAGCTCATCCGAATGTGGGAAAGACTTAGAAGTCTGGCAGATAAGTGAGCACCCCTCTCCCCCTTTTCCCTTTGAAGGAAAACAGCTCATGTGGGAAATTTAAATGCATGAGTCTGTCTGGTTTGTCCTGTTCTGCTGGACTGAGAGAAGGCAGCAGGAGCTCTGCCTCCCTCACCTCATAGACAGCGCTCTGAGGAGACCACACCCTATCCCCCCCCCCCCCCCC